AAAACGGGTTAATCAATAATCTAGAAATGGGTTGAAAGCGGCTCTGTTCAACGATGGCTGAACCCCTGAATACGCTGCTGCCCACCTCCGCGCGCAGGGTGTCGAAGAACCCCAGGGCCGTGTGTTTCGCCGCCTGGACAACGAGGTCAAGGAATGCGTTATAGAGTGGTTAGGAGCGCTCCCCGGCTTGGTTCAGCGATGGCTCTGCAAAAAACGGTTAGAGATTGGGTTAGAGAGTGCTTAGGTGCGGTTCCCGGCTTGGTTCAGTAAGGGTTCAATCCCTTGAACACGCTGCTGCCCACCTCCGCGCGGACCGTGTCGAAGAACCCCAGCGCCACGTGTTTTGCCGCCTGCAAACATGGGTTTTAGCTTCGGTTAGCCGGTGGTTGAGAAGAGCCAACTCATATTTTGTCGTGCTCTGGTTTGAGACCTGGATGTCTCTTAGCGCTGCCCACATTGGCGCGAACCATGTCAAAGAAGCCCAGCGCAGCGTGCTTCGCTTTCTGGAAAACATGGTTTAAGTATGGCTCAGTGGATGGTTCGAAGTGCGTTTCTGCCACAGCGATGATTTGCCCCCTTTATCATCAATTTGCCTGCCTCCGTGCGCAGCGTGTCAACGAAGCCCAGTGCTGCGTGCTTCGCCGCCTAGGAACAGATTTGAAGACTGGGCTTAAGGATGTGGCTAGGAGCGAATTTCTTGGCCGGTTCAGCAGCAAGTTGTCCCCTCTAAAGTGCTGCGCCCGGAGGATGGCAGCGTGTTGAAGTAACCCAGCGCCGTGTGCTTCGCCGCCTGTGGAACCATGAAGGACTGGTTATATGGATGATGGTTCGAAGCGGCTGCCTGACCCGTTTTAGCAGTGCTTCACCCCTTTCCAGTGTTGCCGCCTCCGCGCGCGCGAAGCGTTTCGAAGAACCCCAGCGCCGCGTGCTTCGCCGCCTGAAACATGGGTTTGAGGATGATTGAAACTTTGGGTCAAGGAGGGAGTGCAGCACAAACCTAAGGAACGTGTTCTCTATCTCGGCGCGAGCGTATTGAAGTAGCCAGCACCGCGTGCTTCGCCACCGGAAAAGTGGTTACAGAGAGGCTTAGCAGGCTGATTAGACTCCGAACAGTGGCCCGACGTGGTCTGCCTTGAAGTTTTCCATGTGCTGACACCTCAAGGCCCTGTACGGTGGTGGGGGCCCAAATTGGCCGAAGCTGCAATCTGGTCCGTTGAAGACAGTTTCGGATGCACGGAGCGTTCATTTCCGGAGCTTTGAAATCGCACGCCTACTGTAAAGATCTACCAGCGAAGCCCCTCAGGAAGTTCCCTACTTTCAAACGAACACCGCACTCACGTTGTAGATGCCCATGCGCGGGTACGGGATGAAGCTGGCGACCGAGATGATGTTGAGCAGCTGGCCGCCGGTCGCCCTCAGGTACGGCAGCGCGTAGTACGTCGGGTACACGTGGCCCCAGAACGTGGTGTTAATAACCTCGCGCGCGGCGTCGAGGCTCCAGTTGGGCGCGTCCGCGACCAGGAAGCTGTGCGCGACCCCCGCGTTGTTCACCAAAATGTCGACTGCAAAGGGAGGGGAATTTTGGGTTGGTACTTTTGTTAACTTGATTGGGTCAAGGAGCGTGGTCACCAGTTCGAGCAAAGGTCCAGGCTCCACTCGGGCGCGTCCGCGACCAGGAGTCTGCGCGACCCCCGCATTGTGTGCCAGGATGTCAACTCCAATAACGGGGTTTGTGTACTGGTTAATGAGCCAAAAAAAGGGTTAAGCAAAGCGTCTGACGAATAATCTCGCGCGCGGCGTCCTGGCTCCATTTGGGCGCGTCCGCCACCAGGAAGCTGTGCGCGTTGCGCGATCCCCGCGTTGTTCACTAGGATGTTCAAGGATGTTGACTGCAAAAACGGGGTTTGTGAAGCGGTAGTGTGCCAGAAAACGGGTTAAGGAAAGGGCTAATTTAGGACGTTAATTCGATCTTTCGGGATCTTCCGGGCGCATTCGCGAGCGCGAAAGCTGCCCGCGGCCCCCGCGTTGTTCACCAGAATGTGGTCTGCAAAGGCGAGGTTCGCGGAGTGGTTAGCTGGCCAGAAAGCGGGTTAAGGATCATGTTCGGCTGAAGACTTTAACTAGAGCTTCCATGCTCCAGGCGGGCGCGTCCGCGAGCAGGAAGAGCTGTGCGCGATGTCCGCGCTGTTCTTTACTGGATTGCCATTCCAAAAGCGAGCCTGGCTTGAGGTACTGATTGGGTTGAAGTTGGATTCAGTGAAACCTGCTTCTTTGAAACCGCGCATTGCGCCTGGGCTTCAGCACGGAGCGTCGACGAGCAGGAAGCTTTGTACGGTCTCCAATATCTTTTACCAGAAAGTCGAGTGCGCGGAAAGCTGGGACTGTCCGGGTTAGTCTCGAGTTTCAAGTCATGGTTTCACCTGAACGGAACGTCATGACTCATTTATTTGTGCGCTGAGTAACGGCAACGGTCAGCAGGGAACTGCCATACTGATGGTTGATAAGAATGAGAGGCAGAAGCCGACAGCAATTCATATTAGCGGCTGTTAGTGGCGATTTGGTCGAGATAAAAGGCCTTAATGTTCATACGGTCGAGCAGAGCAGCAACGCAATCCGGACTGCTTGTTTGCAACAGTAAAAACAGACAATCACCGGAGCGACTCCCCGCGTCAAAGTCAAAAAAGAGACAGTAGATAGTTGTGTGCTGCTGTCGGGTATGCGCATATTCACCCCCTCCACGAGTAACTAGCTCAAATGAGCGCACAAAGTTCCACAAACCTCAAGGAGGGATCTTTCTGGGTCATTCCGGTTCCGGCTTAATGTAGCTCCACTCGTTGGCAAAACGCTCTGGCAGTGTCATCCACCAGAGACACCGCCTTCCTAGCCACGTTCGAGATCTGGCGTTCCGATAAGGTCAGCTTTCCTATCGGACGAACCCAACACTTCGGGGACGATTGCTCGAAATTTAACACGAACCAAAGTCTGGTTGAAAAAGCGCAACGAAGCAATGTCTGGCGACGGCAAACGCCGATGCCCCCAGAGGCGGCAGAGCTACAGTGTTTTCGACCCTACATATGCGGCTGATCAAAATCAAGCACTTGGATGGCTATTAGCCACGGACGGCTTGTCTTCCTTGCCATGGTCTCTAAGAACGCACGCAATGGCTTCATACTCTCTGAAATCAGAATAGAATTGCCTCTCCACACACTCAACAGAAGGCAATCAGAGCGTATCTCCTGTGTTTCCGGGACTCGCACAATCTGAAAAGGAAAGGTGCTCAACGCTTGAGACGTCTTTTTCCCCACGTGTCTACGTGGCGCCAGGAGGAGGCTCTATAATAAAGTCTGCTTAACTTTCACATCAGGCCAAACTTGGGCGACGTTTGGATTTTGACAGAGCAGAAACCAAACAAGAGAGTAAAGTCGTTTCGAGCTTGAGTTCAAAAAGCACATACGGCGGAAATGCTGCGAGAAGGCAGGCAGTTTTGGATACGGCATGGGCTTCTGAAGCGCAGAGTAAATGAACGGAAGGAACGTAAAGTTCCCCTCCTATGATTAGTATCCAAACCTTCCGCCCCACACTATCGTTAACGTTGCAAAAGAATACGCACTTGCTCGGGCGTTTGCGAGCTCAGAAGTAACGATTAGTCAGCGCTGAAGGAGTCTCAGAGCCAGTGTCATGAGTTGAAACACTACGACTTCTTCTTGTAATCGGCTCGGAGGATGGTGGCCAAGATCGGATGGCAACAATCGCTGTCGCCAGACCCGCTGTCCTCACAGCCACGTTCAGAGTTCAGCTTCTTGAGCTCGTTTACACTGCTTATCCAATCGCGCAAGCAATTGAAAGCTTCGCGCACGCTCCTTATAGTCGGATTCAGAAAGCAGAAGCAACCGCTGAGCGTCGCATGTCAGCAGGAAGTGCATGACACCATCAAAAAGGCTTGACCAGGCAAAAGCGAAAGACGGGTGGCTAGACAAGAAGGTTAGAAAGGTAGATTGTAAGGTCGTATAGGCGAAGCAACGTAGTGCTTTGTACCCTTTCGACTTTGTATTCCCGAACTTTTCGAAAGCTCAACGGTTCCTTCTAAAATTTGGTAGAAGAGAATCAGGGCTCCAGCAGCAATCGGCTCGTGGCAAACAGCCATGAGTGGTCGTCTTCGCCGCCGCCTCAATCTTTTGAAAGATGGCGTTCAGTTTCGTTTCACGAGTTCAAAAAATGACTCGCTCAGGAGCAAACCATATTACAAGGATAGAGTCCCCAAGGCAGAGCCGATCGATACGCCAACACAGATTCAAACTCTATTCGACTCAGTGAGGGGCCAATTCCTGAGCCCGAAAACGCCCCGGTGCTTGAGTCCCGCTTTCACCTTCTGCAATTCTTGAGCGCTTCGTATGGAAAAATCCCATGCCGACCACAGCCATTCGTAGCAATCTCCTCATTATGCGAGCCATAACGCTTTGAAGCTCGGCCGTAAGTTGGATTTTTGACCCTCTCAGAGTTGCTTGTCGCTTGAATGCACGGTCAGACCCTGAAGAACCAGCCTATCTCATCACACTCATCGTGAGTTCCAGGGCACCAATACCTCCTCTCTTGCATTAGCTTTCCGACAAACCGACTGAAGCGGTGCTAACGAGACCGGGTGCTTCCAAGTTTCCTACTAACCACCCAAGCTAACCCGCTCACCTGTGCCGTATTTGTCCACCGCCCGGTCGATGATCTTCTTGCAGTCGGCCTCCTTCTGAACGTCAGCCTCCAGGATGGTGACGTCAGAGGCCCCCAGGAGGAAGCAGTTCTCGGTCACCTTATGCAGTCGCTCCATGCGCCGGGCCGCGAGCACCAGGTTCGCGCCACGCATCGCGAATTCATACGCGATGTGCTGTGGGAAGAGCGTATGGAGCCATGGTCAGATGGGAGATAAGGTAATTGCTACGCGCAGAAATTTCTACGAACATTTGATTCCGGAGATAATGAGGCAGAGGTTTAGCGCAGATACACAGTGTGGACAGCGTCTCAGAAGTCTGGTCATTCCAACGGTTCATCTTCTGTTCTGGCTTTCCCTTCGACCAAGAGATCCGCTCGTAATGAGCTTATTTCGGAAAAGGATCCAAGTCAGCCTCAGAGCAACGACCGGCAGCGCGCTTTTGAGCAGATTCTGTCTTTTCTTACTCGATTGAAACGGGGAAATCGAAGGCGAAAGCATCCATGACGAAGGTCTGTAGCGTCTCAAATCCAGACAAATTGGAAGGTCCTCAAATGAAGTGCTTGAACTGAGTTTTTGCATGAGGGCAGGTCTGCTGTGCATGGGATTCGCAGATACACTGTGTCCCAAAGAAAGGGAGAAGAGCGAGAGTAGAGATGTAAGTGTTGATCAAGTTTCTCGGTTGTATCTATTTCAGAAACCAGAGAATATCAAAAGGTGCCTCCACCTAGTGGTATGCTTTGAGTTGGCAGAAGATCAAGTTTTCCTGGACTGAGTAGTAAGCAAGCCAAAAACAACATCACAGTAACCGTGGACCTTTCTTTTCCTTCTGCCGGACTACCTAATCAACGTTCCTTCTAAAACCTTTTCAGGAACGGCTTCGGAGCTTCTACATTCTGCGAAGGAGTCTGCCTTCCAAGCCAACACCTTCAAACACAAAAACATGCAGACAAGAAGCACCTCCTTAAATACTGGCTAAACGAAATTTGTCAGCAGACCAGGACACGTCACAGCAATCATTGCCTCACCTCTCCGATGCCGCTGGACGCCCCGTGGATGACCACCGCCTTCCCCCTGACGCTCCTCTCCCAGCTGACCATGCGCCAGAGGCGGCGCAGCACCGCGAGCGTGGGCGCGATCCACAGCAGACTGAGCACGCCGATGGGGTACAGGACCATAGCGTATGTGCAGTTGAGCACCCATGTCCACACGTCCTGCAAAGAGTCCCACATGATTGCGCGCAGCAGGGTTCTCGCCTGCGACTCTTGCAGGGCGTTCCTGGCTTCCGCGACTGCCTGGAAAGGCGCTTGCATGAACGTTGCCCGGACAGTTTGATTGCCTGAGAAGTCCCTGTATAAAGAGCTTCTTGAGCTTATTCTTGCCGCCTCAAATCCCTTCTATAAGACTTCTAGTTCCTGATGCTAAGGTTGAAGCAGGTCTTCTTTGAGTGCATGACGGTTGCTTTACCTGCGTAGGGATGAGGAAGAGAAGCCAAGCGTGACGCGCGCCTTTCGTTCGTCAGCGACACCGACTCGCCTCAAAGCAAGCTGAGCATGCACGTTCGCCGTTCGTCAACGCCCAGTCGATCGTTGCAGCACAGTCTCAGGTTCGCAAAGAGTGAAAAAGAAAAGTCCTGCACACTAGGGCATGCACAGTGCTGAGATCGACAGATGTTGGCAACACCTCGCAAACGAAAACGCTTCTCCTTTCTCAGTACCAAGGCAAGAGCCTATGCTGACAAGTCATTGTGGAGGGGAAGCTGCGAGGCTGCAACAGGGGCGATCGGTCATGTCATAAGTTGCACCTGCACTGCAGCGGATCGACGCCGTGAAGTAAGGATGCGCGGCCGTCCAAATCTCCAAAGCCAGCCGCATCATGCCGTCAGTAACTAAACCGTCTCCAAGCAGCGTCAAATGGCGGCCACCCTCAACCAGCTCCACCAGGTTCCAGCACGCACGCCTGAATGCCTGTGGCCGCCAAGCGCGGCATACCGATACCAGGAACCATGTGCCGGAATCAAACGACCCAAAAAGATCAGCCCATCTCGTCAAACTTCGTTTGTCTACCTAGGTTGTTGTGAGGATCGTGTCGAAGCAACTTAGTCTGCATGTAATCTGAATCCAACAGGGATCGTATGGAACGATCCATTGCCGTCTTCAGTTTTGATCATATCAGGCTTGAAAGTTGATTAAGAAAAGACAGAGTGACGAAGCATCACGCATGGTACGCACAGGAAAAAGTGACTCGAGCTAGCTCCGAGTCGACTACAGAAGTACGTAGCTCAATGGGGGCATTCCAAGGATCGGTATATCAAATGGCTGATATATATGACTAGGAGTCCGATCCTCAAACTTCCTAAGTAACTTTAATACAAGACACGCCGGTCAACGCCTGCACTTCATGACACAGACTCACTCAACTCATGCTATACAGGCTTGCAAGCTAAGCTTATCGTGGGTGTCGGGAGTGGGCTCTGAATAGGAGCGCAGTTCACTCTCAACCACCAGCATAACAGATTTGTATGTGGGACAAGTAAACTACGTCAAAGAGACGAATCTTAGCCTTGTATACACTGGCTTTTGTTGGACACGTCATATTTTGCTGAGCTTCAAACTCTTATCACTTGCGTGTTTCCATCAGAGCAGGACAGCAACTTGCGCATCTGTCACTACAATCACAGAAATTGCTATCAAACACTTGTACCAGCGTCGTCAGCTTTACTTTACCGTTATCCTGAAGCCCACGGCTCTGCTTGTGGCATATGACTCCGTACCCGATTAGAGCTTTCTGCCCAAGCGCTGGGAAGCTCGTAAATGCTAGCAGCATGCTGCATAAGATGATGCTGAACCAAGTACTTTACTCTCCTCACGCTCCCGTGGTCGGATCCCACCCCGTCGCGAGGTTCTCGTTGAAAGAGTCCAACTGAGCCATGTCGGCGGCAGAGATTTCGAAGTCGGTAACCTGCCAACACAGACGCGAAAGAGCTCTTATATGAGGCAGACAGCAAGAACCGGGCTTCTTAGAAAGATGTCAAGCCACGTTAGGAACGAACAAAGTTGACTTCCACAAGTGCAAATGGTGAAACGGACGTGTCCAACTCCTAGGATCCCAAGGAGACCAGACCCGCATGAGAAGGCAAGGACGCTGCAGCGTCCACGTGGACCGTATCTGAAAGAGGGCGGCGGTTCCCCCTCAGGCGACCAGATACGGTCCCATAGGCCTACTGTGGTCGCCTAAGGCACTTTTCAAGATGGGCTTCATTCCCTCAGGACTCGGATGCACAAATGTACCTTAACCTCCGACGCCCTTTTCAAGATGCTAAACCTGCCACTTTTTCCAAACTCCACCTGTTTTGACTCTCCCTGAGCTGACAACAGACGGGCCGATCAAAAGCGTACGAAGTGGGGCACCAAAACGGACCAGAGCGGGAGTGGGCGTCCCGGACCGGAGCTCACCTGAATGTTTTGCAGTATCCGCTGGGGCGTAACGGATTTGGGCAGTACGATGAAGCCCTTTTGCAAGCCCCACCGAAGAAGCAACTGCGCGGGGGTCTTGTGGTAGCGGTGCGCGATCTGCAGCGGACAGAATAGACGGTTTTAGAAAAGAGTGAAGGGTAGAACGATTTTAGAAATCGAGGGTTTTGAAGAAGCACGGCAGGAAGAATCTTCGGACTCCGAGTAAGGAGGAGGCAGAATTAAAAGGGCTGAAAACCGAGGGAGTATTCAAGGCAGTATTTTTGCAGATTCAGAAAAGAAGCATGGTTGGATATACTGACTCCCTTACAGCGGCAAGAACTCCCGCGATCAGAAGTGCACGATCGAGAGGGCCAGCAAAGTTGCGGGGGCGTATGCTACCCGCTTTTTGAACGTCATTGAAAGGGAAGCGCTGGCTCCTAAATCCCTGCTTGATGGCCCCTACGGATACACGAACGGCAAACGTTGACATTCGAGAAAGGACCGAAAAGCCAGATTAACTTTGCCAATCGTTTCAGACAAGACGAGGTTTTGGCATCAGAGAGCCTCCTTCACGGCACAGATTCTGACGAGACTGTCACAAGGCTTCGGAGCCTTACCTCCTGCAGTGCAGGGTCTTTCAGTCGCCGGCCTTTTGTGAGAGGGGAGTATGCCTGCAGTGCGATGCCATTCCGTTTGCAGAAATCCACTAACACCGTCCGCGTATGGTAGGGATGCAGTTCGACCTGCAGACCACAAAAGGGCGTGCTGTTAAAACTATTAGAAAAGGGAAAAAGCGCCCGCAACGCAGTTTGGATCGACATTATGCCCGGTTCAAATCCGTCCAGTTTTGCTTGGTTTTGCCAGTTTTGTGCGACGTGGCACCTCTGTAATCACCAGGACGCTATGAACATCTTTTGCGAAATCTGAGCAGAACCGAGCCGAATCTGGCCGAAACTTGACTGCACTTCAAAGCTGCGTATAGGGTGACACCTGAATTGGAATATGCTATTGCTTGGGTAATCAAGGTCACAAAAGCACTCCTATCAGGAAACGAGCACTTGCGACCAAAAAAAATAAACGCGAAACAGCAGGGTTGGATCAGCGAGAACAGGAAAGAGTCAGTTGTAAGGAGAACACTAGAAATTTGAAACTCCTCCTTAAAGAGACCGGAAAGCCTACTGACTCAAGGAGATACGAGCATGGACACGCAGCAACTGTCCAACATTTACTCCGCACGTGAAGCGATCCTGGCAAATGACCGAGGATGATGCGAAATGTGGCGCCGCGCACCGCTCTCATGCGCCTGCAACAATTGAACACTTCCCAGGGCAAATATGCAACTGCATAAGCGCACAGGAAGATGACGCACCTGATTGACAGACGGCCTTATGGTGCAATTAGCAAACAACTCCTCCAGGTGATGGATCCCATAGTTGCTGACGCCGATCGACCGCGCACGCCCGCTCTTCAGGATGGTCTCCATGGCCTTCCAGGTCTCTAGCCGCTTGTCCACCCGCATCGGCGAGTGCACCAGGTACAAGTCAACTGAAAAAGAAAGAGATCTGCGTAACGGCGGAGTCAATCGGAAATCTTTACCCCAGGAGGGCTGGAAAAGCTGGTCTTCAGCTCAGGAGATGAGTCTGTCACGCCACTCCAGAAGATGAGTCGCTGTCATGCCACGCCATGGAAGAGAAAGGAGAGGAAAAGGGGGCATGTGTTGCTAAGCGGGGACCGGCGAAAGGCTCGGCAAAACAGCTCTTTCATCTATGCGCGTTGCTTGAAAACCTGCCCCAGCTGCCTCTAGCTGAGCCTACCCAGATGAGACCTTTCTTCGGCGAGGGCAGACATAGTCTAGTCAAGGGCTGCTCACCATACTCAAGCCCCAAATTTACAAGGCTTCGCTGGAAGGCCTGAAGAGTCTGCTGATAGCCATGATCGCTGTTCCACAGCTTGGTCGTCTGCATGGAAGACATGCACTTTAGCAGGGAAACAACTGGACCAACCGAATGCCCTGTGGCGCCTCTTGTTTCAAGCGCCACACTTATTGAGCGCCAGCACCAGTAGGTCGTTTGATCAGTGAGCACTCAACTGTGGCTTGACTGGCCAAATACAGATTGGGCGCAGCGGTGGTAGGGTCACGAGGCTGTGCGCAACTGATGTAAGCTTAATTCAAAGCTAACCCGCAATTGATGTAAGCAAACCCACAGTTTATGCAAGCTAACTTGCAATTGGCAGAAGTCGTCTGCGGAGCCTCACCACAAAGATCTCTTCTCGGGGGATGCCGCTGTTCCGAATAGCCGCACCTGAAGAACAGAGAGGCCCTTCATCACTCTCTGCTCATGGCAGGAGATTGCATGAGTGCTTCCCCTAAGCATTGGTTCCAGACCAATTGCACATTTGCACACACAGCAACAGGGCAGCTGGATTGACAATCTCTGGTGCGCGCCTCTGCTCATGCGATCTTGCACGTCATGCCTCAACAGGGACCTCATGGATTAATTGCCTTTTGGTTCGACCATGGATGCCACTTACCCACGGAGGCCTCGTTTCTGTACAGAGCGGCGGTGTCAATGTGGCGGTACCCCTCTTGCAGCGCACATGCAACCGCTTCTTCTGTCTCAGGGCCCGGCGCTGACTGAAACACCCCAAGGCCAATCCTAGGGATCTTGACACCCTGCTTCAGAGGTTGATTGAACACCTCGATGCTGTCAGTATATGGCTTTGCGTGCGACATGTTTGTGCGCGTGGCTAAACCCCCAAGCTGGGAGCTTGAAAGACCGCTGGAGTTGTGAAGCGCCTGACGGATCGCAACGGCCAGCAGGATCATGCAAAGGACAAGCGAGCAGCGTATCATACCACGCATAGAGTGCACTACCGGAGACACGATGACAAGGAAACGAGAGCTCTAAAGTGAGCGCGTCTCCCACCAAATAGGCACCAGCGGAAATTTGCCCAGGAAGAACCAGAACAATTAGTTGAACATGAAGTTGAAGCGGATCGGACCAGCAATATTAAATAGCTGAGCGCTGCACGCGTGCCGCGGCCGCCCCGCCGGGCCCTGGAATTCAAACGTCAAACCCCTTTCTTGAGACGCGGAACTTTGTCCACTGCTGACGTCATCATCTATGACCGGTCACTGACTAGCTGCTTTCTGCGCGCAAAGCGACTGCCCCGGTCGACCAACACCGACGTCATGAGCCGGACGTTGGATCATCTTGGATGAACCAATTCAACCCACAAACGTGCGGAGACTGCTCGGCTTATATAAGCAAGCGAAGCCGCTGGTTTTAGTCAGCTCGTCCTGAGTCAGGGAGAGTCAGCAGGTCAATGACCGTCTAGGGACGGCTTGCTGTGCTTTTACCCAAAACCGAACACACCTTGCAGGGGCGGCTGCCTGGTCGCTTCCTGCAATTTTTGCAGGCTGTTTAGTGCATTACTTTATATGCTCTAAAACAGCCCTATGGGTTCTCGAGTTCCAAGTGTAAACCGGCCCCTTACTCGTGCTCTGGGCTCTTGGCCACACGCACCTCAGCACAGGGCACAATGAGAAGCCCACCAGCGCAAACCGATTCAGTAGACTGCTTGTTCGCACACCTCCCATCACTTCAAAGCAGAAGGCACCGCGCACGAAGTCCAACTTGAAAGGCCTTCCAGGTCCAAACGAATATAAAAGGGTCCTCACTTCTCTCATGGTAGAAAATAGTACGCAGGCCAGGCACCAATCTGAAAACGTTTCGAAGAGATGGACCTGCAGATTCAGATGAGCTTTGGGCGTCGGGGGAATGGAGGGCTCCTTTTGAAGCGAGATCTAGAGGGCATCTGCAGTCAAGAGCAGCTCAACCTGACGTCGCGTATTTACAAACACGACAATGTCCGTTTAGTATTTGGATTCCGTGCCAACGTTCCAAATCTGATCGAGCTTAGGAACCAAAGAGTCTCATCTTCTGATGTCGAGGCTGCAACTCGCTAAGAAACGGACCGTCGATCTGGCCCTGTCACTACCAATTCTGGGTTTCAGCCGTGGCTGCCCTCTCTACTTTCGAAACCGAGATTAAAACGAGCTCGCAGAAAACCTGGCTGAAGGTATTTAGAGAGCAATTTATTGAGCTCAAATTGAGCAACAAATACGGTATGCTGATTCTTTATCGTTGATTTCCAGATTGAACACCACAGAAGAGCAAACGAGGAAGCGAGGAGCTTCTAGCGAACAATTCTGAAGGACAACATCTCCAGATACTTCGTAGAATTCAAAGTACAGTGATGAACTGTTCGAATCTTCAGGAGCCCACAAGCGCTCACTTACAGTCAACGAAGAATGAGACCTAGGTTCTGACGAAATCAAATTTGTATTTGAACGATCAACCAAAAGATATAGTAGAGTAGCAGCTTCGCGAATGTTTGCAAGGTCGCCTCAAAGATGACGTGACGTGTCTCTTACCGAAATGGATTCGACAAGAGTTTAGAAGTTTCAAGCCTGTCTGAACGAGAGTGAGAATTCCGTGTGCCGTTGCTGCGCTTTTGACCTTTCCAAAATGAAGCAACCACTCTGCTCGTTTTCTGAGCAGTCGACAGCAGTCTCATGGGCTCCCACAATGCAGACAAACTTCCTCGGATATGCTCACTTCCCATAAGGCAGCCTGCGATACTTTTCTGATTCACCGTTATATTGATGGACGAACTCTCTTGATCGGAAATAAGGGCATCTCAGACATACATACTACAAGCGTTCCATCTCAGCAAAGCGGCATCTTGCCAAAGGCAGGAATGATAATGACCTGCTTGCGTGCCAGATCTTGCGCGCCGCCACATCAGTGGACAGCTGTCAGGGAGAGAAAGGCAATCAAAGTTCAAACTTTTCGGCCGCATCCAGAAACACTTTGTGAAACAATCATTTGATAACGAAGACTGGTCATACCCATTTCACTTTGGGCTATGTGTCCGTTCACCTGTAAGAGCATCATAAATAAGCGATTGATATCCTAAGGGTTTTGGCACAGCTCCAGACCCAAGTATAGGTTATAAACGCCAATCAACCTGCACACATCAAGATCTGCAGATCGTTTATCATTGTTCTTCCTCCCGATTCAGAAGCGGAAAGCCTCTTCAATGCATACGTCGTCTTCTACCAATGAGTGCGGCACCCTCGCGGTGCAGCGTTCGCAAGTAGGTTTAGCAAAAGAGATAAAACTCTAGCCGAGCCGCGAGCCACACTCGAGCTCCGCGTACCAGGCGGATTGCTGAGAGCAGGCCCTGAACCACGACACCCATGTGAACGCAACGATTGAGCGGAGAATGCATAGTCAGCCAAGCCTGCGGAGTAAACGCAGGCAGCCCGTTCACGCGCGGCAGAGGAGCTTCATCACACAGTGCCAAAAAAAGCTTAACCTCACAGTCTATAAAAGCTTAACCTCACAGTGCCAAAAAAGCTTAACCTCACAGTGCCAAAAAGCTTCACCTCACAGTGCCACCTCCGATTCCTTCGCGCCATCCGAGTCGAGAACGCCAGCAAAGGATTCTGAGAGGTCCGAAGTTCGATAAGCAAACGGAGGACCGAGTGAGGCTCTTAAAGGTGGTACTAAAACAAGGGAAGCGAGACGTGGCACCCCTTCAGTTATAACGTCAGCCAGCCAGGGGCCCACGTAAGCTCTGCCAAGACCCTCAAGACGCCGTCTTCACTGCAAGCTGTTCACAGAGAAGACCTCGACCGTCTCAGAAAGCTGGAAGGGATGAATTTCCGAGCTGCGGACGCGGAGAAGTAGACGAAGCCACGCAGAAAGAAGGTCACGTGCCCGGAAAGAAGCGGGCGGTGAGACAAAAAGCTCTCTTCGCTTGTTAGGATTCGAGAAAGGACCCGACTTTCCGGAAACGGTCGACGAGACGGCTTCTCCGAGCTGCGGAATCGAAGGAAAGATGCAGCGACGCAGCGAGAAGGTGGCCACGTGCCGCCGGGAGGATTCGAACTGCGACCGGTGAAAAACAAGAAGCCGTCTTGGTTCAGTAACCTTGATTACAGACTCCGAAGACGACCAAAGAGACGGCTCTTCGAGCTCCGTACGCGGAAGAAGAAGATGGCGCGCCGCGGAAGGTGGGCACGTGGCGGTAGGAAAGCGGCCAGTAAGAGCGGCGGTGGGCGGCCAGTCAGAAGCAGCAGAGAAAAGTGCAGTCATTAGAAAAACGGGCGGGAGTACGAAAGCGAGCGGCGGACCCTCATATAGTGACAGGACGAGCAAGCTGGGGAAGCAGGGAGGGGAGGTGGGCGCGGGCGCGCATGTGCGCGAGCTCTAGCGCAGGCACCTGTTGCCAGAGCGCGGCGAGAAAACGGGCGCGCGACGAAGAAGCTTGGGCGTAAAGGCAGCGCAGGGACTAGGGGGAATTGGGAGCCGTTACCGAAGAAAGGAAAGGCAGAAAACGGGCTGCCAACGAAGAGAAGAGAAAGCGATCGAGCTTTCCGATGCGACCGCGGCGCGTCCCTGGAACTGGCATGGCTCTCGAGAATGATGTATCTCCCCTGATGTTTGATTTTGTTCTGAGCCCCGGACCTACTTTTCGTTCACCTTTTCAAGCTGCTGTGCCTCAACTGGCTGCACCCCGAAGATGTCAAAGCGAACGCGCCGCTCGCCATTCGTCGAGTGATCAATTCTCTCGCCAGTCTTCATTCCCAAGCACAGCTTCCTCGTGTCCGCCCTCCAATTGACACCAGAGTCGTTTTTAAGCGGACTTCGGAACGGTGTCTTTTGTTTCTGATTGACGGTGGATGCGTGGCCCTTCAGGCCCTTTCGGTGCACAGTCCGCCGTTCCGGTCACCGCGCTTCTGGTCATGCCGGACAAAAGGCTGGTCGTGGAAAACGTTTTAGGGGGTCTCGCGTGCCCGCGCGACGGACCCCCCTTTTGCTGAAGGGACAAGCTCGGATTACGAGCAACCGGGGGTGATCAGCGCCCTGGCGGAGAAATGCTTCTCAGCGAAGAGGCCATGGGGGCCCATAGTTACGGGGAATTTTGGTTGCTAACCAGGCTGATTAGGGGAATTGAGTCTCAGGTTATTGGACAGATAACCGGGCTTGAACCTTATTCCAGGGCTGTTTACCGCCCAAGTCTGGTCAATAGACATTCAAACACTTTTACCAGCCCATAACCATCCATGGGTAGGGGCCAAAACCTCCTGTGCGAGTGCGAAACCGGGCTAACCGCTCCGCGCCGCACTTGATCAACATTGAAGACCGTGAAGGCGCTCTCAAGCGTCACACCGAAAAACGAGTTCGAGCAGTGTTAGTGTTCAGCGGAGGGGCCGGCAGGCAGATCCGAGCGCTGAATCTCTCCAACTGCGTCCCCGTAAAGCGTTGAAGGTGCATTCTGGTGGAGCCCCAGTGCGCGCGCTCGTGCGCTCGGGCGCTCTGTGGACGCCCCGCGCGCACTGTCGGGCGTCGACGCGGGAAAGAGCACGTTGTCCGGTGAGCCCTCTTGAGGGCGGGAGAAAAAGCGCGCGCGCGCTCGAAAACTCAAAGCTGAGGAGGGTGGGGCGATGGCAATCATCGAGCGGGGGCTGCTTTTTGGTGCAGCCAAAGGGGGCTGCCACGTGGCTGTCTGGCACGAGGAGAACGTACCTGATCATGACGCCAGAAAATCTACGAACTTCGTCGGACCCGTGGTGGCCGGTTGCCGAAAAAGGACCGTCGTGCTGGTTTCAAGCTGCCGGGCAACAGTAATCATAGGCGGGAACCGGCCCTGAAAAAAGTGTCGCGGTTCTGGAATCAAAGTGGTGGTGGTCGGCGCACAGTGCTGGTTGTGACCGGGCACAATAGCACAAGGGGGGCCCGCAGAATTTCGAACGCGTTTTCGTCTTAGCAACCGTGTTTTTCCTTGCCTTCGGGACCCCTAACTAATATTTAGTTAATGTGTTCCGGTAAGTTCGTACTTACCAGAACCAGTACGACCGTTCTGGTTGTACTCGGCGCCCTGAGTCCGGCAGTCCACCTCCAAGAAGCGCCTTTGCCGAAGTCGCACCTCGCTGTCTTTGAGTATACGTCACCGGGTGCCTGTAATCTCTAAACACAAACCGTCTCGTCGTGGACTTTGGGCCCGCACGTGATTAAGCTCGAAAAGTTCTTGCAGCAGGAGCACTCACCAGACTCCATACAAGGATTCCGGCGCGAGGCATATTACGGCGTCACCTTTTAGAAGGGGCCCCGTTGGTCAAGCTGAAAAACTGGAAGTGCTTCTTCTTTAAATCCGTCAAAAGCCGCTCCTTTCAGGACCGTTCCCGGCAGGAAACATACGTGCTGAAATGACTCTCTATGCTGTCTAAGCGGAGAACGTTCGTGTTGCATATTGTCGTTTATGAACATCGTCCAGACTGCAAGTCGTGCGTCCGGTTTTTGGGACGGCAGAGCGCGGGCGCCGTGCACTTTTGCTCTTACCCGGCCCCGGTTTCTCTAACCATACATTCATCACGGAAAAGTGTGAGCTTACGCAGTGAAATGAGTGTGTACTCGTTGTCAACGGTCGATCGACGCATACGTGGTTGACGTGAGACCTTATGCAATATACTAGGCGAAATACTCATTAAAAACGTCGAAGGCTTCGACGTTTCTTTTTGGGCGGCGGCCTCATATTACCGCCAGACACCCGGTTGCAATCGCTTGTTTGAAAAGGGTCTGTTTGGAAGACGTGGCAGATGTGTATGCGGGATCGACGCGTGTTGCTTTTGGATTTCGAAGCGAACATGGCAGAATGCTTGTTTATCGAGCAGTCGGGATATTCACGAGTGTTGCGTGGACGCTTTCAATTTTCTCAAGTATCTGTCGAAAAAGCTTGTTGTTCTGTCACCTCAAGTAGGCGGGTCAGACTCATTCATGTGGACGAGAGGCATGGGAGGTTGATTCATTCTCAGTTAGGAATACGGTACCTCAAGCTTCTCACCGACGTAACCATGTGAAAAGCAGTATCATGGTCCTGAGAATCGCCCCAAAGCACTCTGATATTCATTTGATTTCACACGTCAGTGATCATGGCAGTGACATTGGACAACTGTTAAAGAACTAATACGCCATAATTGAATAGGTGCATATCATCCTCAAAAAGTTCAGGCAGATGGCGGACCCAACATGATTAGTCCTGACGCTAAACCCGTGTACGCTGCAAACCATTTCTCGATACTAACTGGTCGCAACGGTACGCGAGGCAGCTCTCCATCTCCAAGACTTATTTCCTAAAATCTCGGGACCCTATTGTGATCGCTAGTGCTCCTAGTCAAAGTGTCGACCCTTTCATTTGAGTGCAAACTCCTTCCTCTCTGCTTGGTACAATTTGTACCGGGCACTTCTGTGTCGCCATCGCTTAAGCGCTGAGCGCCAGGATGTACTCGTTCTCAGAGTCCTCGTTGGGGAAGATACGCTTGTCGGCGGCAATGACGCGGCGCTGCATCTGCCCGGTGACCTCGCGGTAGCTGCGGGTTCCTCCCACCAGGGCCAGGAAGCTCTCGGGGCGGTAGTCGGAGTGCACGTTGCCGATGACCATGATCTGGCCTGCAGGAAGGTGACGTCATACCTTGCGTCAGAACGGTGACATAAGAGTGAAGAGTCTTCTGGGTACAGTAGGGAGGCGAAGGAAGCTATGTTAGGGATCTGTTTGAAGGAACATAAGGGAAAGGAGGGACGTCTGGGTTCCGGAGCTTAAGTTCCTCGTGACGTGGCACCACTAGTAGTTCTAGATAGCTTAAGTGGGAAATTGCGGATTGGAAGAGCAACTCTGCAGAACTATATTTGGAAGGATGAACTGTTCAAGATTGATCAAAATTCAATGTTGCGGCTCAGATTGACCGTCTTGACTCCATTGATCAGGTCCCTGATTTCTTCCCAGATGCTCAGCAAAGCGATCGTTCCGCGTTGAACATCTCTTGAACCATCTCAGAAAGTTTGTTTGTGCGACAAACAATTTGAGCCTGTTCTCAAGACTGCTGTTCTGTCATTACGGCAACAAAAATAACATAGCTATTTCACTAGATACTGATCCTAGCTTCGTCAACCAGACTGCAGGTCCCAGAAAGAAAAGAAAGTCCGAGCCTTGCCTGCGTCGAAGTCGAAGGAGTACTGGCAGTTCTCCACAGAGCCTCCGGGGAAGGCGTTGACCACATCGCACTTTCCAGTCACCTGGCCGTAGACGACGCTCTTGTCATAGAAGTCTGAATAGGCGGTGTAGCTGAAGATCTGCGCGCAACAGAAGAGGCACGTCAGGCAGAAGATCTATGCTTGCAGAAGAAAGGGTCCTCATGTCTGTAGGAAATCCAAGCCAAAAGTGGCAAGACAATCTGTGGGCGGATTGTTTCTCAGACAATCGTATAGAGCCACTGGATCTGCAAGTTGGGGCCCCTTTTAGAGCTTCCTCGATTCCTGGTGAAACTTGCCAATGGGCCATGTGGCTTGAAGGGTTTTCTCTCTGTCATACCCACTCTTGATCAGGACAAAGAGAGGTAACTAAGAGCTAACCCAGTTTAGTTAGCAGGGAGTTTGCTACGTGTCACTCACCCTTGCAGAGCCGAGCGCATTGGGGTAGTCGCCCTGCTTGAAGGTGGGCCCAACTCCACGGACCCTGATGATCTGGAAACAAAGGAAGATGATTGGTGGTTTGTATTTCAAGCGGCATCGGGTTCTGAGTTGACCAATGTGCTCGTTGGTCGTTGCAAAGCTTAGAGGAAAAGGTCAGACCACCAGGGTTGCTTTTCAGTGAAGTACTTGCTTAGCTCTTTACGGAAGAAAGACACCTAGTCAAAGACTGACTCCTGCTTTGTGAGAGCTCTGAGAAAGTAGATTGTTTCTGAGAAACGAGAGCAACCGGCCAGGTCTTTGAAATCATTCAGGCCTGACGGCATTGGGCTTTCCTATTGAAGGGGAATGTCTAACCACAAATCTCTACTTGACAGAAAACAAAACTTCTTTCAAGCCATTGCAGTTAGAATGGAGCCAACGAAGAGAAACCCTTGAGGCGCTGGATTGCGGGTCAAGCGACAAATGCTTATTCACAGCTGCCTGGTCAGAAGTCAGTTGGAGAGTCACTTCAGCAAACAGTGTCTCCGCCAAAGAGGCCTCCATAATGCAGCAGACGTAAGGAATCTACCTGATGACAGCATTCCGCACTTAGACCACCAGTACCAAACAGCATTAAAAACACAGTGCTTCCTCGCTAGGGGCACCAACCAACCGCATGACCATTGGCTGCCCTTTCCAGCCTACAAACCCATGACCAACCTCCAGCAAGCTTGCAGTCCCCGAAAGAAAGAATGAAGCTTCAGTCCAGTCAGTTTCTCGGTTCTGCCAAAAGGCGGTGGTGAGAAATGCTTACCGTCTGCGGTGACGCAGCGAGGGCGAAGGAAGCGACGGCGGCCCCCACAAGGGCGACCAGAAGCAGCGCTGCAACAGTGCGGGAAGCCATGGTGCTGGGAAGTGGTCGCCGAGAAGAGGGCAGGTGGGCTGCGGATGAGCAAAAGGATGCTGGAGAATGTCAAGGGCAAAAAGAATGCTCGAATCAACGTGAGGTTCTGCGTTTTATAGCTGGTAGAAAGCCTTTAAACAGTCTTTCAGTGTCCACTGAACATAGGTGCCTGGGTAGGTGAAGTGTATTACCTAGTCGTGTCAAGGTATGATCACTAGATAGCTACTAAGCCTAGGCATTGGCGCGCTTTCCACTGGAGTTTCACATTTCCTTGGTAACGGCATGCCCAGACAGTAGTAACTAGATCTTGGATGATGTCATGTTCACTGTCGTGGTGGAAACAGTGCTGCGGCTGCAGTGGGCCCTGTCACCAGCCCGTCACCAGTGCAGCTCAGTCGATATCAGGATTCAGGACTTGGGCGGCGGAATCTAGAATCTACCGTAGGCCAGCTCGTACACAAGGACGTTCGCATTAATACTGTACAAATAGGCTAACAATCTTGTAAGAATACCTAGTACGTTTCCAGGTCACTTTGCTGATTTACATTAATTTGCTGTTAGGCTGAATAATGCCCTGCCCGCAAACCTCGCTTGCCATTGCTGGTCAGGATTCCAATTTCCAGTCTGCTCCAGTCTGCTCTAGTCAGTGCTCATTCCCTGTAGCAGGTCCATACGCTATGCATTTACATCCTCAAAACCCGGGAGTCTCCAATGTCCAGGCGTAGTCAATACGACGGCGGATTAATTCAATGCAGCGTTTCGAGGTCAAGAGTGACGAGTCTGGCGTGACTCGGTTTAGAGCACGTAGCACGTATCCGAATCCTGGCAAGTACCGTACATGGTACCGTGACGTCAGATTTGGTACCTCTTTCATACCCTGTGTTCGACACGAGCCGTCAGACATACCGTACCGTAGTGGCCTCCGACGCTATTGAGCTACTCGGTCCTCTCAACCGAGGGGCATTAGAATCAAAAAGCACGGTACACCATCCGTATGGGTGAGACAAACGGACGGAGTTGCCGGATTAGGGTTCTGCCGGTTAACTGGACGCCGACAGGTTCGAAAGCTTCTTGTCGAACGCTGCAGTGTTACCGTACGTACGTTGATTGTACCTCTAGGCTTCGGTCCTTCATTTGTTTTCAGAATTCCCGGTCCTTTCCCGACAAAAGCGCACGATTTTTCGATCAATCAAATCACACGAAGTTTGAAGGATAAGTTTGAAGGACAGCAACGCTAAACCACAAAGCTTGACCAAAAGTTTTCACAGCCCCCACCCGTGCTTAAAGCCCCTAGCTAACCCTGGCTAACCCTGCCCGTCCCAGTAAAATTCCTCATGGCGACTGTGATTGGCAGAGCCTGAGAAACGTCAAGCATGTCAAGACTAGGTCCTCGCCCCTCCACGATGTCGATCGAAATCAAAATCGCCACTTCATGGGAAGCTGACTTTCCGGAATGCGTGCGGGTAGACCGGTCACCGTAGTTGAGTAAGGGTACCGTCACTTTGAAGTGGCACCCGGTTAAGGTATTTTAG